AAAGATGTATTAACAATTACTAGTTATTGGAAGATATTTAGTTTATTTATTGCTATATCTATCAATCACTTTGCCAAGTTTTTGCTATTAACATGCTCCATTTATTCTCTTGTAATTCACTGGATTAAACTTGGTTCACTCAAGCTAGATTTGGGTAGAATTGACTCTTGTTTCTTCATGCATTGTCCTAGTTGGGTTGTGGAGAGTAGAAAGTTGCCCACATGTCTTTAGGAAAGTTCACACAAGGATGATTATCCTTTGGTCTATCAGCAAAATGATATGTTCAAACAATGGGCTTTGGACTGTATGTCTCCCATGAGAACAAGAAATGCAACCCAACAATAACCATGAAGTTATATTAAAACATGAGTTCTTATGGAACACTTAGATATCTCAACTACATGCATGATTCTGGAGTACAAGCTTTCTAGGTAACAATGTCTTTTTGTATTATTAAAAAACCTGGTAACTAGTTTTTTTTAATATATATATATATATTATATATATAATATATATATATATATATATATATATATATATATATATAATTTAGTTGGAAAATAAAACACACTCTCCTTCAAATTCCGTTGTGTGGAGATAAAATTCTTACTTAGTAATTAATATATTTAAAATTTTATTGCAAATTGGAAGCATGGGGGAGGTGTAAGGTGTATGGTTTTTCTGCCCGCTGCTGCTGGTCTTGACCCGCCACCGCACCAGCCCCAATTAACACACAGAGACTCTGTATTTGACCTAATTCTGTTGGCCTATTACTAGATTCTTATCGGCTAGCTCTGTCTTAATTATTAACCCATTTCTATGTATTTCCACATGGTCTTACCAGCGAGAGGTGGCTGGTGGTTCTATTCACTCCAGACTCTCCATCCTGACGCTCCTTCCTACTTCCTCTTTCCTCCTTGTTTCTTAGTCCCTCCTATCTAGTTTTCCTATTGGCCAACAGTGCTTTATTCATTAACCAGTATGAGAAACATATACAGAATGACATCTCCCATCATCTCCTCTTTTCTGTCTAAAATAAAAAGAAGGGTTTTAACCTTAACATAGCAAAATATATCACATAACAGTTATCAAATAAGAATCACAGTTAACACTATTTAGTCCATTAGCATTAAGCAAGATTTGAAGAAAATATTCCATCATCTATTTTATCATTGTGAGTCTAAAGTCCTATATGTAACTTATCTTTAAGCTTAACTAAGGAAAACTATATCCATAACTATCTGTCTTCAACTCCATCAAAGACCACAGAAATATAATACATAAACTCTTGAAATGACAGAGACATCTTGCCTTTTCAGTTCTTCTGTAATCTTCCGTCTTCAGCCCATAGGCCATAGTGTGTCTGTCAGACTCTTCAGCAAAGCAGGGAACTTGAAACTATCTTCTTGTATTGACAGTTTGTCAGTCACTTTTCTCTGTGTCCTGCAGACTGTCTGACAGACTCTTCCATTAAGCAGGAACTCTATAGCAATGTCCATCTTGAATCAGCAGTAACTTTTCTGTGGGTCCTGCATGTCCAGTTTATACAGCACAAAGTCAAACAGTCCAGACAAGAGCAGTATCTTGTCCAAATGGCTAGTCTTGCCATATTGGAGGCAAACTCCATAACACATTTCTTCCAGGTCCATCTTCCTTTCTAACGCAGGTGGCATTGCCAGGAGCAGTTATGTCTCACTGTCAAGAATATCCCTAAACCCTTTTAAATGCCATATTCTGTAGGTATTTGAAAGGTCTGAAGAATGCCTATCCATCTCAAATATATGTCTGTATATCTTGAAAACCTAGCTAACTTATCTCTAAGCTTTGACTATCATAGGTAATTATCTATAATCTGTACTACATTATACAATACATTTCTGAATGAACTATATAAACACAATACCTAAACAAAAGGAGAAATATACACATCACAAAATTGACCTTAAACTGTATCAATAAATGAAAATTCATTCCAAAACAAAGTATTCATATCTATATCAGGGAGGGGACTGGGAGTTAAGAGAAAGGGAAGAGGAGAAGAGGAGGGGAGAGGTGGACATGAGGGAGCATGAAGATTGAGTCAGGAGAAGAATAGATGAGAGCAAGAAAAGAGATACCTTAATAGAAGGAGCCACTACAGATTTAAAGAGAAATCTGACACTAGAGAAATATACAGAGACCTACAAGGATGACCCCAGCTAAGAATTTAAACAATAGTGAAAAGGCTACCTTACCTTAAATGGTCTTTCCCTATGACAAGATTGATGGCTACCTTGTATGTAATCCTAGAGCTTTCATCCTGTAGCTGATGGAAGCAGAAGCAGTCACCCACAACTAAACACTGACCTGAACTCCTAAAATCCAGTTGCAGAAAGGGAGGGGTGATGAGCAAAGGGGTCAAGACCATGCTAAGGAAACCCACAGAAACAGTTGACTTTAACAAGAGGGAACTCATGAACCCGAGACTGACAGCTGGGAAATCAGCATAGACCCGAACCAGGTCCACTGAATGTGCATATCAGTTATCAGGCCTGTGCAGTCTATGGGGCCTCTGGTAGTAGATCAGTATTTATCCCTAGTGTAAGAATGGACTTTAGAAGCCTACTCCCCATTGAGGGATACTCTCTAAGCCTAGATACATTGGGGAAGGTCTAGGCCTGCCCCAAAAGATGTGACAGACTTTGATGATACCCCATGGAAGGCCTCACCTTCCCTAGGTAGCAGAAAGGGTTTGGGATGGTTGGTCAGTGGGAAGGATGGGAGGATGGGAGGGAGAGAGAACTGGGATTGATATATAAAATAAGATTGTTTCTAATTTAATTATTTTTAAAAAAATTATCAGTTGTTTATTTGAAATAAGGATATTAGCAAGATTTTTAAAATATTTATAGTGCTAAATATAAACAAAACTAATAAGGTATAAAGAAAGAAAATATATGTGTAGCCTAGTTAGTAAATAAAGTGCAAGCAGGAAATTCCTCATGACTTCATAAAGACTTAACACTGACTAAGCCAAAGTAAGGGGGGAAATGTGTTTGAGGCTATAAAGTACACTGTGCTCATAAATTGAAAACTCACATGTAGCTTGCAGAGAATGTAATTATTATTAACATTAAAAAGAAATTAATCTCACATTTCCATTGCAGAAGTTACTTTTGCAACATAGCCTGGATGCCTTGGTGAAGTTATTACAGCCTTATACAGTTGTACTTTACGTGTTGTCTTTGAGAAATAGCATCCCTCGGCCTAATGCATCAACTTAGAAGACCTTCCTTCCCCTGCATTAGCTTCTGACACTTTTAGGAGAAATTTTTCAGACTCCTAGTCAGCCTCCCTTTAGATTCAGGTATGGGAAGAGCTGCTTGGACCCTGGGGGGAGCAGGAGGAATCTGGGATGCTCTGCTTATCAACATCTATAGGCTTGCTATTGTCTCCAGTTGAGGTTGCATCATGCCTGTACTTGTGTAAGCAGAACATTTCACTTTCCACCAGTTTACTTTCTTGGGTTTAATTGTGGCTTCATTTTGGGTAGCCTCACTATTCATTTCATAGGGGCTGACTATAGATGTAGTTTGGTCAATACCATGGATAGCACCCACGTAAGGCCCAGGCATGACTACAAGTGACCACTGAAGTATCAGTAGTGAGATGAAGAAAAGAGAATTACACCTAGGGCTTGATGGTCAACTAGCTGAATATATAAACACCAGCTTCAGAAAGAGATACACTGTCTCAAAAAGAAAGATATGACGATATTGACCTTTGGCCTTCATAAACCCTACACAACATATGGAGTAATACAAAACATTTGAGTACCCATTGCTTGAAATATTCAAGGATTTTCCTGATGTGTAGATCAGCTCATAACTGACACAATATTTCTTTATAAAATACAATTTTAACTTAATTCAATATAGAAAGTTTATATTAGGAAATATCATGGAAAGCTTTATCACCTGCCAATTACACTGTAAGGGATGCTTAAGCTGTGCATAGGAAATTTATTCCCATTTGTCAGTTAGACACGTGTTCAAGGAGAACATTAGAATTCATCAGCATTACTACATGTCATACATCGTCAATGTAAGTTTTCCTAGCAAGATCACTAGACATCTAGACATGCACACTTGCCAGCAACTCTGCAGTTGTAAATCATTGTGACCCACAAAGAACATTTTGGGAAAGCAGTACTGCTGGACACTTCCTATGTACAAATAACAAAAGGGCTGTTTGCTTCTCCTAAGTTCTTGGAAGATGATTTCCAGTTTCTTGTTTGTTTGTTTTTTCCTTCATCCATTTTACACTATATGTAAACTATGAGTCAATAACAAAACACAATTGTCATGTTATCATGTGATGTGTAACATTGGTACTCTCCCTAATAACTCAGATTGTCTTCCATAAGAGTAGCTTATTATAATTTGATTGAATAATCAAATGCATTCTGGCTCCATAGCTATGCAATAAGTCACCTTCAATAGTGAAAGTAGCTTTGGACTGTCTATTGATTGGCACCTAGTGTGTTGAAACAGGGAATACTTACTTGAAAGTTGAAGAATGCAAGGTATCAACAGCCCCTAGTGCCCCTCTGAGTAATTAATGGCAGTTATCTCATCCTATAAAGCATACATATATCAGTGTGGTGCCATTAAATTGTGGAACTATGTGACAAATATCCTAGTTTTTATTACCTGTATTTAAAATAGTCTTTGTAACTCCACATGGCCTAACACGATTTCTCAAAGGGAGAAAATGCATGGACTGGAGTCTTTTAGTTGCCATGATAGTTATGGTTACTATTATCAATTCATAATATCACATCATAAAATTATATTGCAGAACCATAAACCTGAAAATGTGTTTCCTTTCATAAGTTTCTATTCCAGTTATAAGTTGTGTCCACCCATCTGACAAATTTGCTTACCCCTCCAGTTCAATCTCTCTTCAGAGCAATACTTCCAAGAAATGCATCCCACCACCATCCATTTCTTTGCACCTACCTGAAGGATTTCTTAATATCTTCTGCTTTGATTGTCTTGAGAATATCCTTGTATAACTGAGGGTCATTTGATCTTGAAAGTGTGGTATCAGGAGGGCAGTCTGTGTGTGCATTATAACCTATTAGAATTCCAAAAATAAATAGAATGGTGGCTGTGCAAATTATTTTTAAAAGGTAGCAAAAGTTGCAGTGGTTGCTCTTTGGTGTAGATCTTGTGTAGTGAGTAGCATAGTCAGACTCTTCTTGAAGTCTCTGGAACCTTCCTTTGGGTGAAGTTGCTGGTTGAATGGAATCAAGGTGGAGGTCTAAAGTTTCTGAGTGCCCCAAGTTCTGAGTCTCAGCATTATCTGGTTGGAACTGGTCAAAGCCAGGCTCTTCCAGTTCCTTCTCCATATCCCACTCTAAATCAAGGGCAGTGGCTTGGATGTCATCATTGTCTAAGTACTGTGAGTGTCCTGAGGTTCTTAAATCTGCATTGACCTTCTGATAAGCCATCTTTTTACCTATGGAAATAAGAGAAAATTATACTGCAATAAAATAAGTAGTTTATTTTTAAGTTAATTAAAAAAACTTTTTAGTGCATAAAACTTTAATGATTAGTTAGTGTCTGAACAGATGGCTTAGGCATGTGTATTTCCAACATGAGGGCATATGTTCAGACACCAATACTCAGGCAAGAGAACTGACTGTGATAGTACAAACTCCTACAATCCTAGCACTGGGCAGACAGAAACATGGAATTCCTGGGGCTTGCTGAATAGGAATCTTTGAAAAATATACATGTCTAAGACCCTGTCTCAATAACAAGAGTGAGTGACAATGTCTGATGTTGAACCCTACCCTTCATATGCATGTGTATATATATATGCATGTACACTCCTTATATTTAGTAATTGTAATTTCTCTATAGAAAGCAACATTTAATAATCAATAATTTAATTATATTTCTCTGTTAAATATAGTAAAGAAAGAAGATATAAGCAGTAAAAGTTGAAAGTATTGGTAGAAATCCTATTTCAAAATCATTAAAAATCACACATACACAACCAATCTTTATAGTTTTGGAAACTGACAGGAGTACACAAATGTACCAGTGAAGTCAATATTAACCACATGTTTAGAAACCACTTTAAACAATTTATCTACAAATGCAATGAAGCAAAAATTTGATCTCTTAGAAGGAAAATTAATAAAAGACCTTAGGATGATTATATATGCTAGAGCTCCTTCGGGAAACATAAACCTAAGACAGAAAGAGGTAAGGCAATTTACACAACTGCATGAAGTAAAATACGGCATGTGCATACAGCCATGGTTGAAGAGAGGGGCTTGAAAATTTTAAGTTATCAGGTAGGAAGAAGGTCTTCCCAGGAACAATGACTTGGACTGGCATTGATCAGTGAAGATTAATTAAAACCCAGGTTGCCATGGATCCAAAGACCAAAACCTTTGCCAGCTTGGGAGGTCTTGGTTTCCTAACCTTGCAAGGGGCAGATGGAAGTTTTTCTCTCCCACAGTTTTGGATGGCTGTCCATTGTGTCCTGCAGAGAAGTTTTAGGATAGGTCAGCTAATGAACTGTAGGGGATCTCAGTTCTATAAGCTATTGGAGCATTATTGCTGCAGATTAAAAATATCTAGACTATTCACACTTAAATTCTGTATGCACTAGGATGCTATCTGGATGCCGAGGTTCTTTGCAATGCTTTATGGCATTTCTATATTTCTCAGTGGAAGGAATAATTTACAAAGCCTAACTGATACTTAGTAAGTTAATTCTTAATGGCAGTCATTAACAAATCAACATTAACAAAGATTAAAAACCAGGACATCATGAGAGAAGGTAGCATCAGCCACAGAATTCTGACATTTTTACATGTTGGCTAACAGACCCAAATAATAAAATGCTCTGAATTTTTAGGAATATTACACATTACTTAATAATCATGCACAACAAAAATATAATTCTATAATCCCCATATACTACTCTATCAAATAGGATTCATTCTTATCCAGAATTGACCCCAAGCAAGATGTGTCATTTATATCAGTCATTAGAAGAGGCAATGAAAGTAAAGATGGATGTGTTTTTATTCCTACAAGGGAAACAAGACAATCAATCTTTAGGGACAAATGCATACAAAATACAGAAGAACAGACAAAATGTGCTGAGTTGTTATGAATTTCAGATTTTTATTATTATTTTGTTAATACTATTTCATAATTCTTTGAGAATTTCATGTAATGTATTTTTTTATCTTATTTACCTGCTTACCCCAATTCCTTCTAAATCTACCCTTATATCCATACTCACCCAATTTTACTCTTGGATGAAGGGCTAACCCTAGAGCATGGTCCTATAAAGGGCAGGTTCATAGAGGCTTAAAGAAGCTGACTCACCTCTCCCTAGCATCTTTACTTGTTAATGAGTGCTCAGTTTGAAGCATCCACCTTCCACGACCCCATGCTGAGATGTTTGGCTGGCTGGAAAAAAATCTAGGTATTCTTCATGCTGTCACAACAGCTGTGAGTTCATATATGTGATAGCCTTTTTGTGTTCAGAAAACTGCTTTATTGCAGTCATATACAGCCCACAGATTTTACAGTCTTTATGTTTACTTCTCCTCCAAGATTCCTATGTCTTGGGGGAATAGCATGTGCTACAAGGTCCCAATTAGTGATAAACACTAAGGTAGTTTATTCTCTGTATTTTGACAAGTAGTGGGTTTCTTCTAATCACCATCCACTACAACAAGAAGCTTCGCTGATGAGAGTTGAGAGATGCACAAGTCATGAAACTTACTTTAATATGATGGTAATTTAGTAAATTGGTAGCAGTGGGTTCTCCCCTCAGGCATATGTATGACCTACCTAGGCACAGGTCCTTAGCTCCAATTATGTTGCCAGTTCTAGGTTCCAACTCAAATTTGAAATAACAAACATCAATTTTTTGTTATGTATTGTTTGTGTTGAATATTCAGATACATGTGTTTCTTTTGGAATATCCACAAAGGTCAGGAAACTTGTTGGAAACCACAAGGGAGGACTCTCAGGAGAGAGGAGATACAATATAACAGTATAAAGGGGTAAAGGGATGGGTAACAGAACTGTAAGGGTTAAATGGGGTGGATGTGGGAATAAAGGGTAAAGGAAATATTTATGATGTGGTAATGGACACAAATGACATTTTGAAATATCTGGAAATTTACTACTGTAGAAGATTACACATATACACATACACATATACATACACATACACATAAAGAATTTAAACCAAGTTACCCTATTCCAAAGGAACAACACCCCTAGTAGCCACCACAGTAGTCTAGCAAATACAAAACCCAGTGCCAATATAATTTCTCTGTAAGTTAGCAAGTAATGCCTCACAGAAACCAAGATATTACAGGTTATTGACATTACTCCTGGTGCACTTCTGCAACTAACAGTCACCCACACTGATTAAGACACCAAAGATGTAGGTCACAGAACAATGGAAATAATTTTTTAAAATGGATATTCTTTGGGTGAGAAAATGGCTCAGAACATAAGTATTTGATGATCTTACAAAGGATCCAGGTTCAGTTTTTAGAACACATTCATTTTGATGGATCTGACATACTCTTGTGGCATCCACACACACTTGACAGACATGAAGCATAGACAAATATTCAGGTAAATACTCATACATGATAGATTAATAAATAATTAATAACAAACAAATCTGAAAACATAGTAAACTCTTAATTGTTTTTGGCAGTTTTACCCAAAGCGGACAAATATGAACCAAGAACCAAGGCAGGAAAATATTGGACAGGCTCAAAAACCATGAACACACTTTACTTGCAGCTCTTAGAATGCAAAACTAGCCAGGGATGCAGCACATGCCAAAGATGCTGAGATAAAGCTAAGAAAGCGATCACTGAGAAAGGGGAAGGGATTCTCTCCATTTGTGGGTCCCATTTAATGAGTAAGCATAGCAACAGCATGAACTTAAGCTTATCTACTGCTTGCAGTTTTTATTAAAAGAATTTGAATCAATGTTTCTAGATTTATAGGCAAAAAGAATAAATGTAAAAGACTGAAGAAGCATAATGATTACATAATGTACCATAAATATCTAATTCTGTGGGACACTGCAAATAGTGGGAGATGGCTGTAAATTGGCCGCACATACATACTATGATTGGGTTTTGTTTGCTTAATTTAAATTAATATCACACTATGATATTAATGGTAAATTCCCCTATAGAGAGCATGAGGTTGCAACTTTGTGGAACCTCTGGATATGTGAACAAGACAGCAGTCATAGAGGCATGGATACACTAATTAAGATTATAGCCCTGCCTCACCTCAGCTCTCACTTTTTCCTCCTGATCCACAGAGATGTAAAGAGATATGCAGCAAGCTCCTACTGCCACAGAGACCTAACTGCAAGACTTCTCCATTTTGATGGATTATGTGTCCGTGAACAATGTACTAAAATAAATCATTCTCCCTTTAAGTTGTTTTTTGTCAGGTATTTGATCATAATAATAAGAAGAGAAACTTGTAAAGTCTGTATATCAAAACAAAAGTGTGATATATTAATCATAATCATGCAGTTGTTCCATGGTAGGTGGTAAAACATCAGGGATGGTGTCTTGTATGTTTTTCTTTCTCTCATTCCTTCATTATTGACTCCTTTCTAAACTAATTTTTTTCTGAGCTATTTAAGAAACCCCGTCATTTGTATAAAGATGTTTGTTTCTTTTGTGGCTCTGTGCTCACTTTCTGGTTTACTTACATCAAAATAGGCAGATAAAATGAATGACATATCAGGTTAGCGACAATTCTTTCAGACAGTTTAAGTGATGTTTGATGACGAAATAGAGGAAGACTCAAAATAATATTTTGTACGAATGGTATGTTTAACAAAATATACTAGGTAGTCTGGAAATTCCATAGATAGCTGAATGACAGCATATCAAAGTCCTAAATGGAATCCTTCATTCATACACTGGAAAGAGGACTTTGGGGGAAAAAATTCCTCTAAAATAATCCAACTTTTTATAAAATTATGACTACCAATTAGATGATAAACTAATGATTAATACCTCACAAACAAATTTATTTTAATGTATTTTATAAACTTCTATTTCTTATCACAATGGAAGTAATTCTTTCTTTAGTTAAAACATAAATAAGTTACTACTATTCTGGCATGACACAAGATTCACTACTTATTTTCTTCTGGCATTTTCATACTCATTTAGTTTTGTTAACATTTCTATCTTTTTTCCTCTAACTTCCTGGCTCATTTTCAATTTTCTCTCCTCCAGTCCAAAAATTTTTCTTTCCAGTTTCATCCCATAAGTGTTTAACACCCACCTCTCTCCCTCAAAACTTATTTGTGTATATTGTCTGTATATAGTTGTTTCGCAAATACAACTTTTTGAAGCATAACATGTACTTTGATTTATTTATATCCTCTGTCCTTCCCTTTCTCAACACTCTCCCTTTTGTACTTCCACATTATTTTTAATTTTTTTAGTCATATACAATTGATGAATTTGCTCTGCCATTGTATCATTGAAGTTATCCAGACTTCTCTCACATATTACTGAGTAAGAATCTCCTTCTGTCATCTGTCACCCCCCCCCAATGTTTTTTTTTTCTTTTAGTATAATGTAAGCATGGCTTGTCTCAATGAAGATTTGGCATAGGAGAGCTGTGAAAAAAATGTAATAATTGTAATTCTGACCTCTAATATAAACATTTAAAGGCATCTCTACAAATCATTTAAAACTGAACTGAAAGGATGAGAGCAAGTTTTCATCTCTAGCCTGACAATGGGCTTTCCATCACTTGCGGATCAGCAATTTAACGCTTTTCAAGCATCAAGCAGAGCCATCAATTAGGGTGTAAAGCAGATACACATATTAAGTCTTCACCATGATGGATGTCTGGCTGACATCCTCACTATCGCTTTTAGACTCATTACAAGCTAATCATTTTTCAGAAAACTCTTTCATCTGGTGAAACACCACCTGGGTCAAAGAATGGTGAAGCCACTTGAGATAATAAACATCAGAAACATTTCTGGAAAATTGTCAAGGAAATGAATATGTGATAGTATATATAATGGAAGATTTTAATCATTCATATGGAAAAACAATTATATTTATATGTATAAATATATGTATATATAAAATTTATTTTGTATATAAACTGATAAATATAAATGCAAATATGCATACATATATTAAATTTTAAAATTTCTTCTCTTACAGAAAAATATTAGGACCTTCTTACAGAATATAACATTGATGTATTTTCTCTAGCATCTTATATTCACTTAACACATATTCAATGAACCAAATAAAACAAAATTGAAAAGTAAACTCCAAATAACTAAAATTTTGAAATAAGTGCTGTTTTGATAAAATGTGATTTCTTTCCCCCAAAGGATGCACTTCTGTTTAAAATAAAATAGCTCTGCTCTGACAAGCAAGTAAATGACATATTTCCTTTAACTAATAATTTTGAATTCCAGAGTGA